CTAGCAGTCCATGGTACATTCAATATTCTTCGCCAACACCACAATTCAAATGCATCAGTTCTTCTGCGGTCTTCCTTAGTCACTCTCCAGCTCTTGATGCTTATGAGGCGAGTGAAAATAGCATGACTTGGGTCAGGCACACCTTAGTCTTCAGAGTGACATATTTGCTTTTTAATATTTTAAAGAGGTCTGCAGCAGATTTGCCCAATGCAGTAAAGCATTTCGTTTTTTGACTGCTGCTTCCATGGGCATTGATTGTGGGTGCAAGTAAAAGACTTCAGTCTTTTCTCCATTTAGTTTAGCATGATGTTGCTTATTGGTCCAGTTGTGAGGATTTTTGTTTCCTTTATGCTGAGGTGTAATCGATACTGAAGGCCGCAGTCTTTGATTGTCATCAGTAAGAGCTTCAAGTCTTCGTTTCAGCAAGTCAGGTTGTGTCATCTAAGGGAGAGTGGGAGGTTGGAAATCTCATCCAGGGAAGTGGGGGATCAGCAGGATGAGGGAGAAGGAGCTAGAGCCTGCCCCCAACAACATCCTCATTCCTCCACCTTAGGGGTGCCCATGGGTTCCAGAGTGGGGACTGAACCAGAGCTAGGGGTGCAAACAGCATTAGAAAGTTATTTCAGAATCTGTACTTTGCTCCATGTTCACACACACACACACAAAACTCCAGGCCCTGAAGCTCCTGCAGCTGCATTCCCACAAGCCTTCCTGCTCAGGCCAGGGCCCCGTTGTCCCTCTGCACCTGGAGCCCGCAACCCTTCCCAGCACCGTTCTTGAAGGGCATGGTTGGGTCAGAAGGCTTGAGTTGGCAGTATGCCTCTAAGGGTTTTCAGCCTCATCCTTTCTCTTGGGCCTGGAGCAGGGCGGAGGTGGCCTGGACCCCAGGTGCTGATCCCTGCATCCTGGCGATTCCCACACAAGGATCAGGGGCTTTCACACCCCCACCGAGGCTCTGGGCTGACTTAACTGTTCCCTTCATCCTTTGCCAGACTGAGATCCAGAAGGTCAGCAGTGTCAGGGGCAGGCGGAGGAGTATTTTGAGCTTCTGGCTCAGGCTGTGTTGGCTGCGGGGATAAGTGGCTGGGCCTGGCCCTGGGCCTGATGGCAGAAACCTGCAGGTGATTGTCCCCTCCTGCCACCTGAAGCCAGCCAAAAGGTGCCCTTTATCAGAGGCTGGGGGGGAGCTGCTGATTTGCAGGGACTTTGCCAACCATCTTACTGTGGTCTCCCAAAGTGACTTTGGGCAAATATCAGGGACTTCTGGTGGAGAATCCTGGATTCCAAGGCACAGCTGCATACCTCAGTTTCCCCAGATTAACCTGAGGCTAGGGCAGGGACGTTGGCCCTGGACAGTGACCCTTCCCCATTTGTCTTCTCTTCTACAGCAGTAACTATGACCTGGACTCCAAGCTGCACAGGCAGGAAGTCCCCTACAGGTGAGTGAGCCTGCTCCTTCAGTCTTCTGGGCAAAGAGGGGGTGCTCGTGAGCCTGCGCCCACTCTGCCACCCCCGTAGGGTGTACAAATACCAGAGGATCCCCCCACTCATCAACCGCATGCCTGTCAAGCTCCAGAGAACCTACGTGGGCAGCTTCAGCCCTCACAAGGCCACCAGGAATAGCCACCTGCCCCCAAGACAGACAAAACGTGAGTGAGTGGGTACGGCCCTTGCCTGGGCAGCTGAGGGCAGCTGGGCAGCCCTGATCAGAGCAGGGAAGGCCCAGGAACCCAGGCAACACAGCACCACCTCTGCTGCCTCCCCCAACAGTACAGACTGAGGAGCTGCACACCATCAGGGGGGAGCTGAGCCAGATCAAAGCCCAGGTGGACAGCCTACTGGAGCGCCTGGAGCACATGGACCAGCAGCGGGATCAGCCTGCAGGTCGGATGCTCCGAGTGTGGCCCGGGCCATGCTCTTAGCAGGGTGCCTGTGCCTGCCCAACACCAGGAGTACACCCTCCCCGACTCCTCTCTGGCCATTCCTGTGCCTTGGGGGTTGTCTGGTCACCCCTGGTCACCCCAGCACTCAGCAGCTATCCAGAGCCAGGGCCTGTCCCTGCCCATTCCCCGCTTGCCCTCTCTAGTGTCCCAGATCAGTCTGGGCATCAAGTGCTTCTCCTAGGTCAGCTGGGACCTCCAAACCTGGCCACTGACTCAGCAACTCTCCCTGAACAGAGACAAAGGACAGTGAAGTGGACAGAGGCCCTTGGAGTGAGGGGTCCTTGGGCGGAACCACCGAGCCTCTGCAGGAGCCCAGGAGCCCAGAAAGCACAGAGCACAGGGGCCAGAGGGCTGCTGCAGAGGTGGACAGCTCTGAGAACACAGACATGGAAGAGCAGTGAGTGGCCACCCTCCACCCTCCTCTCCCTGCTTGTGTGTGGGGGTACTCGTGGCCTCCCTGTGAGGCAGGGGGGACTGGGGTTGGTGCAGGAGCCCACAGTGGAGGGCAGTGAAGCTTGGACAGAGCATTTCTTGGGGGACCATGTAGCCTTGTCTTCTCTCAACTCGGTTGGCCCAGCTTAACTGAACCAGGCGCTGTGCTGGGCAGTGGCCAGCTGGGTCTATCCTGGTTGGAACAAACAGCATCCCCTTCTGGGAGTATGGAGCCAGGGTTGGGTGGATACATGGAGCACTGTAGGACGTCACAGGTGTGCCTCATGGCTGCAGACCCCTTGCCTGAGAACCACCTGGTGAGCTTGTTAAGGCCTAGTTTCTGCCCTCCTCCCACCCTAAGTCTGGGGTTGTCTGCATAGTACCACACTCCCCAGGGAAGCTGCACCATGTTGACCTCCCTAGAAGGCCAGCATGGCCAGGCTTGGAACAGATAACAGCTCTGTATAGCACTAAAAGGTGGCATATCCCCTCCCATATCCCCCTCTCTGCCCCCATCTGGTGGTCCCTGCATCAGCCCAAGCCCCCCACTGCTATAGCACTGGCTACTCAAGTCCAAGGTTCTCAGGAGACAGAGTTGGGGAGGGGGCTGGGTGCCAGCAAGGACCCTTCCTCTCCCAGCCATCTCTTGTATTTTGGCCTCTCAGCCAGAGTCCCACTTGTTTTCCCTATAGGTGAAGAATCACGTATCAGACTGGGAGGGCCGCCACTGGAAGACTGGAAGCCTTTCAGGCTTGTCAGCTCTAGGTGTTTGTGGGTGGCTCCCTCCCTGCCTCTGTGTTTTTTGAAAGCCTCCTGGTGGCACCTGTTCTGGAACTAGGACAATAGAAATGGAGGCACAGTTCAGAAAAACCAGCTTCCGATCGATCCTGTGGACTTAAGCTTTGGAAGGCACATCTCCAGAAAGCACTGGGATTGGCAGGGCTGGAGGGAGGTGTAGCCTGGAACTCCCAGCACCAGGTCACCATCCTCCAGAAGCCAAGGTCCCCCACCACAAAGGTACCATCAGTCCCCTATGAACAGTGTCAGCCGCTCTTTTCCCATCTGGCGGCCTCGGCAGTCCTGTTGGGTGTGGAACTTGGTGCAGCAGTGGGCCCAGGCCTCTTTCTCCAACTACTGTACAGCACAGGAAACAAAACTGTGTTCCTGCCATCTCCCTCCCAGCCTGAAGTAGCTGTCATGTCTTAGGGAGTACTTCACATAGCCCTTTTGGCTCCACTCCACATCCACCTATACCATCCCTCAGAACGGGTGTTATTTTTATGTACTGTCTCTCACTGGTGTGTACTATTTCAGATCTGCTTTGGAAAAATGTATTATGTCAGAAGGGAAAAAATAAAATTTGTATTTTTTTCTGGTCAGAGGTTCCTAAAGTGGTCCCAGTGCCTCATTCTGGGCCTTGGGCTCTCCCAGACCCAGCCCTTTCTAGAGAAGCAGAGCAGGTCCTTGAAACACAAGTTTAGAACCTCATAGCAAGCCAAGGGCTGAGAGGGGACCAGGCTGCTGTGGTTCTGAAGGGCCAGCTACCGAGCTGCTTCCAGTCCAGATCTGGTCACACACCCACAGGGCTTAGGAGACCAAAGGGTCTAAGGCTGCAGCCTCACGGTCTGTCAGCTAGGCTAACACTGCTCTATGAAATAGCTAACTGCTATCTGGTGCCCCAGAGTCTACAGGCTTATTCCTGGCAGTTCACCTGCTCTAGGGCCTTGTTCCCAGGAACCAAGTCTAGACAAGAAGCACTAGATCATGAGGCCAGCCCCACTTCTTACCACTGGTAGAGGTGGCCGTGGAAGGAAAGATCTGCCTTCCACTCAAGACAAAGCCCTTCTTTGCATCTACGCAACCCTGGCCTGGTGTCTTGCCGGGTCCCTAACACTGAACAGGGAATAAGAGATGCACTCAGAGTGCTTCTGGGACTGCACAGCTCTTCTGACTTTTGTTCATCTCAGACGCTGCCCCGACTGGGGTACTCCGGGGGGTGGGGGACAGCTTCCCCTCCTCCAAAGCACATTTTTTCACTTCAAACCCTTAAGGTGCTTCAGGTGTTTCAGCCCGTCTTCTGCTCACATTGGCCTAACCAGGGACAAATGCCAGGCAGTGAGCTGCAGAACCCTTGGCACCAGGGGTCCAAGAACACACTATCCAGCTCAAAGCCTTGCTTTTTTAAATCCTGTACCAAGAAGAACCACAACAGAAAACGTTGCTCATATAGAAAAGTTTTTGTTTTGTTTTAGCTCTTATGTAAGAAGGCACAAGCCCCTCATCCAGTCTCTCAAAAGCAACCCGGTCGTAGGGCGCTGGCTGGCCTACATCGATTAGGGTCCACCCCTAACAAGACAACAGGTCTAAGCCCCATTTTCCCGATAATTCCGGCTTAAGTCCTTTCCAACTTAGAAATCAGGCTGAATTCATGGGTTTCCTCAACTGGGTCGGAGCACAGAGCCAGCTTGAGAAAAGTTTCTCACAACAGGTGTCCAGGGCATGAGTTCCGTATTGGGAGGAGGCGGCTGTTGTCAAACCACTTCCACTCCATCCTCTCCGGTGCTCCCCAGGTCTCAGCTCCCCGCAGTCTGGAGGCAGCAGGTACGTGTCCTCCGGGTCCTTTGCTCAGGACGGGGTGGCGGCGCCCCTCCGGCGGGCGGCCCGCACCAGGCACTGCTGCAGCACAGGGTAGAGGCGCTGACAGCCCTCGAGGCCCAGGCGCACAGCCTCGGCCCAGCTCTCCGTTGGGCAGCCCTCCCCACTGCCCAAAAGCCCGGCCACCTGGTTGAGCACCGGCATGAGCGCCACGGTAAGGCCTGCGGCGGCACGCTCCTCCTCGAGCCGCGTGGGGTCCAACAGCCAGGCGGGCGTGGGGCCCTGCGCGCGGCTCAGGCCGCAGCCCACTACCAGGTCGTACATCTCGACGCCGGCGTCGGCCAGGGCGAGCGCGGCGGCCGTGAGGGCGGCCGCCAGAGCCGAACCCCCGTCCTCCAGCAGCAGCGCCGACACCTCAAGCTGCGCGCGCGGGTAGCGGCCCAGGCGCACCGCCGGCTCAAGCGCCTCCTGCAGCGCCAGCGCCAACTCCCGTTCCTCCCCGCCGCCCGGGGGTGCGCGGCGCCGTCGGCCCGAGAAGGGCGCGCGGCGGAAGTCGCAAATAAGGCGCCCGCGCAGTGCGGCCGGAGCCTCGCCGCCCGACCCGGCCGGGCCGCTGCCACGCTCGCTGCCCTCTGCCTGGCGCGGGCCGGACACGGAGCACAGCACTTTAGTGTTGCCTGCCTCCAGGTAGGCCGAACCTTTGGCCTGGCTCAGCAGCCCGGCGCGCGCGTACACGGGCCGCAGCCGCGTCGGGTCTCGGGCAGCGGGCGCCTCGTCTTCATCTGTCGCGTACAGCTGTGGTGGCTGCGACTCCTCGGGCCCGCGGATGCGGCGGTGGTCCCCGGGCATGGCGGCGACTAGCGTACTGGCCGCTTCCTCCGCGCGAGCCAACTCCGCCCGCTTGAGACACGCGCCCGCGCGGAGGCTGTCGGGACAGCCGTGGAACTGCACTGCCCCCTGCCGGCGCGGCGGGAGAACGGCGGGCCCTGCGGAGTTGCGGGGCGCAGCAAGCAGGACTTGGGCGGTCCTAGAGGATCTCCAGCCTCCTAGGACTCGACGACACCTAACAGGTCAGGGCAAACTCAAAGCCCATTTTCCTCTATTTGTGAAGGGTGTAATTATTTTGGCTTTGCCTTTATTTGCGTAACTATTTTCTATCTGTGCTCCCTACTGCTCTCAGAGGCAAGAACCTCTTTTTCTGTCCACTGCCGTACCCGCCCTGACAGGCTGGTGAGTTAATGGAATCCTGAGGTCCCCTCCCTTCCAGACCAGTTTTCTTTGTATCCCTAACACTCTTCACCTGGCAGCATTTAGCACCCTCCCTTTGCCTGCTTCGCTTGCCTCAATCAGGGCAGATCCTCACACCTAGGCCCAAGCTGCTGCAGAGAGCTTTTCCTTTCTCCCCTGTGCGAGCAGGGGCACCAGGGCCACCCTGCTGTACCCGAGGGCATCAAATCAGTCACAGCTGCCACACCTAGCAGTACCTTTTTCCTCCCCTCATACTTTGTCTGAACCCAGCTGTCTTCAGACTTGGGTGAATTGGCCTCATGGCCATTCTTTGCTTAAGGAAGAAAGAATGGTGGGCAATGGCTATACCCTGTACCAGAGCAAGCCTCCGACCTCACACTGTACCTCACAACCCCAACTGCCTCTCCACATCTTGCCCCTGTTCTGCCTGCAGCTCCAGATACTTGGGGGAACCCCACGAGCCATTCACAGAGTTCAGGGGATCAGAGGAGCCAGCACAGCCACTGCTTACTCTGCTGACACTCAGGGAGCTAAGGACTGTCTATTAGGGCACCTGACAGGTGGGTGGGTGGATCACAAGGCATCAAGTATTGCACATGGTCCTTTTATTCTCTGCAGCAAAAATGATTTCTACCTGCAGACCCCAAAGTCCCAGATCTGCAGATACTTAAGTATACCTCAGACATGTAGACAGGTGCAGGACGGTGAGAAACAGCAATCCTGGGTTAGTGGTTCTAGACAGACGGTGCTGACTAAAGGGCTTGAGGTGGAAATGTGAAGTGGGCACTGAGTCACAGGGCAGGACAGCACATGGACCGTGTTCCAGTCACTGCTGGGTTAGGACAGGCTTCTCTGCTTAAAGGTCCAGGAGGCGAATGTCCCTGTGGTGGACGGAGTTCACATCCGGGCTGATGCATTCCAGTGAGGGGCAGACACTTCCCAGTGCAAGCCCCCGCCCCCTGCCCTCCTCAGTTCTTCACATCTCCCAGGCGGAGCTGGGCAAAGGACGTGGCCAGCTGCAGCGCCTCCTGCAGGCAGCCCACATTCTTGCCCGTGGCCTGGGCAGACACATCTTTGCCACCACCTTTGCCATCCATCAAGCCTGACACCTGCTGCACCCACTCGCTGGCCTTCAGGCCTCTGTTGGCAGCATTCTAGAAGACAGGAAGGGGAAGCAGGAGTCGGACAGGATGGAATCAATGGGAGAATGGAGAGGGGAGGGGGGAGCAAAGGAGGGGAGACTCATTCCTGCCCTGTCTGAGGATATGAGGTACTGCTGGAGGTGGAGACAGATTCTAGAGCAGGTGCAGGGGGGCAGCTGATGACCCTGCCAGGACAGTGGTACCCCAAGGGCAAAGCTAAGGATCAGCCAGTACAATTAAACTTATTCACCAAAGAGAAGGCCTGAGGGTTGGGGTGCTGGCAAAGGGGAGGGCAGGATGGCACCTGTTTATGGGGGTTGTTGCAAAGACTTCTGTGGGCCTTGGTGACCAACCGTAAGAACTGAGCTCCCTCTGAAAAGCTATAGCCCACACTCCCCACAATAACAGGGTTTAGAACAGGTACAGGCAGTTCCTACCTGGGGAACCTGGCACAAGCATGTGATCTTGCCAGCCTCATTGTCCACTGTAAAGAGCATGGCAGCTGTCTGAGGGGAATGGGTCTTGAAAAGCTTCAAGGCTTCATTCAGGGCCTGTGGGGAAAAACTGGTGTCAGGTCATGGCCGTGGCATGCTCTCCTCAAGTGTGGCTAGTTTGAGGACTCAGGCCTAGGAGGGCCACCCCAGCTTCTGTTTCAAGAGCAGGTGTTGGGCTTGGGAGGCTATAGGAGGGGCCTCATGGGGTCTTGCCCAAGTTCTGATTCCAAGGTTTGCCTTCCACCTCGTGGCTCTCATGGGTCAGGCTAACCTCCACCCTGACAGTGGGCTCAGAGCCACAAAAGCCCGGAGTCCAGCCACCAGAGGGGCTGACACTGGGAGAAGGGACATTGGAAGCAGCAGGACCCCCGGCCCCCAGTTGCCTTGGCCGAGGCACCACTCTCCATCTCCAGAATGACAAGGGGCTGGTTAGGGTGGCTGTCAATGAGCTGCTTGGTCTTCTCCAACACCTGCAAGGACGGGAACCCAGAAGAAAACTTCAGATCAAAGAACTGGCCCCCAAAACCAGAACACAGCCTTCCCAGCCTCTGCAGTGTAAGTCCTCCCACTGCCTTGGGCCACCAGCACTGCCAAGACTCACTCGCTTCTGGACGTCAGCTTTGCTAGCACGGTCGAGGTCGTCCATGATCTTCTTCAGAGATTTAAGGTCCTCCCGCAGTTCATCCTTCTGCCACTGAGGGATGATGGCAGTGGCTAGGGCCTGGAACCACAACCAGAAGACCATGTGGACTGGTCTGGGAGCTAGGATGTGAGCACCCCCACCTCACTCCCTGCTTTGAGTACAGTCTCCCTGTCGAATGTCCAGGAAGAAGGAGGAAGTAAACATAACAAAGGCAGAGGTGTCTATTGGTCTTAAGAGCAGTCACCGTGTGAGCAACTGCAGCAGTTGTGACAAGTGGGGCTACAGAGGGGACAGCATAGAGACTGAGATCCCTGAGAACAGCGCTCAGCAGGGAGTGAACACAGAGCCTGGGATGGGCTGATGGAAGCCCCTGGATATTAATAAACACCAGGCAGGCTTGGTCAGAGGTTCACAGCATCTTCCCCAACTCTCTTGACACCAGTGCTTGAAACGAGCTCTCCTGCCATCAGCAATAGGAGCAGAAGGCAGGAACGGGGGTCCATAGGCCACATCCATGGAGTCCCCTGTGCAGGGCTGTAGAACAGCAGAAGTCAGCCCATAGCCCTGTTTCATTGAGAACCACGACCTGGCTGGCTCCAGTGACTTTTTCAAGAATCCAGGTAGTGTTTTACTTTTCAGACGTAGGGCCTAACACCCAGCACCAGGTCCTGGGAGGCAGGCATGGCAGCGGCTGTCCCTACCTCACTGAGGTCAGCTATTTCCCGCTGCACATCCTTGTTTGGTGCGATCTGGGCCTTCACTTTGGCCTCCATGACAGAGAGAGACTTCTTCAAGCTCTCTGCTTTCCTGAGAGCCTGGGAGGGAAGAATCAAAGTTGTAAAATTTGGGGCAGGTCACTGGCAGCTTCAGTTTCATTGGTAAACAACTGTGGCAAGCCTCCAAGGGAGGCTAAGAAGCAACACACCTAAGACAGTGCAAGTTTCTCTTCCTTCAGGGAGCAAATGCCTGCAGCCTGATGTGTCAGAAAGGAGCACCCACCCCACCTCATCCCCGAACGCAGCTGGCCGACAGGAGATGCACCCAATGCATGTGCAGGGGTGACCAACAGCCTATGAAGCAGGAGCTCTTTTACCCAGGAATTTACTACCCTGAAAGCTTTGGGACAAGCCAGGCACAAGTTTCAGTTCCCATCCTCAGAACACCTCAAACTAGGCATGAGACCCCAGGGCTGTGTGACTATGTGCTGGAGACCCTTAAAGGCACAGGCCTATCCTCCTGGGAATGAGAATCCAGGAACTCCTGCCTGGTGCTGCCTTTCTCCTGCAGCTCACAGGTAACTGGAGGAAGCCTTCTGGGGTAGTAGTATGTACCTTCAATTCTGCCTGCAAGAGCCACCTTAGCATTTGCACCTATGGACTCACGTGAGGTCCTCCTGCTCACACAGCAGCAGCCAGCCTGATCCACTCACCTTCTGGGCTTCAACACCTGTGACAGCAACGATCCTCCGGATGCCTTTGGCAATTGCTTCTTCACTCACGATCACAAATGCTCCCGTGTGACTTGAGTTCTGCAGGTGCCTGGATCACAGAACAGGAAGTCCGTGGTGAGGGGAAGCCCTGGCACCCTGGCCTCCCCAGCACACCTTGGGGCCCTCGGCTCAGATGCCTGAGCCCTACTAGTAGTAACTCCCCAGAAGTCCTTTCCAGGATAATGTGGGTAAGCATCCTTAATGCCCAAGGAAGACAGAGTGCAGGTCTGGCCAACAAGAACAAGAGAACAGAAGGGAGGGACAGCCTGGGTTTGAGAGCACTGTGACACTGAACAGGAGCAGCTTTCTGAACCTCAGTTTTCTCACACAACAATGGGGATGACCTTCCTCATAGGGCTGTGGTGAAACTCACACCACATCAAAGTGCCTTGTAGCTCCTGGGGTATTACTGCCACCAGGCTGCCAAATTCATTCCCGTATATGGTCTTCTTTGATGGAACATGAGCTGTATTCTTATATCCCCACTCAACAGCTGAAAATGGCAGAGAATTACTCTTAATGCCTGACACAACCCCTTAAACAAGCAGATTTTCTTTCCCAATTGCTCAGGGAACCTCCAACACTCATTACCACTCACAGTCCTTCTGTGAGGGAGGTATAAAGTCTGCAGCTGTTTTCTGGGTTCTAAAGCATGTCATGCAAACAGATACTAAAGTAGAAGTGACAATCACTTGAAAGTCCAGGGAAGCCAAGAACTTGACCCTGCAGAACCCCACCCTGTCTTCCACACACCCTACCTGCCTGGGGCTTGCAGGACTGTCCTTTTCATTCAGGCTTCCTTTGGAAGTAGGGGACTTCCTAGGCCACCATGACCCTTCCTGAAAAGACTACAGCGGACTCCAGGTTGACAGAAACAAGGGGGTTCCCCCATGCCACACTGAGCTGGTTCTACCACATAGTCTGACCCAGGGCCCCGAGCTTTGCAGTTAATTCTCTGGCAGGTGCAGAAGTGATCACAGGGAGTCAGGAACGGAAAGAGCTCCAAAGAGCTCAGGAGTTCAGTGAGCATGCCAAGACCTTGCTGAATGCTCAACTCGCATGTGGCCTTCTTGTCAGTCAGCCCAGGGAACAAGCCACTGGATGGTGAGTGTTAATGGAGTGCTGTCTCCCTTCTGCTCCCAGGAAGGACATTCTATCACATACGCAGGAGCAGCAAAGGCACACGTGGAGGGGTCCACCTGCAGCACTAATGGATGGGGATTCTTGGGACATTATCTGGAAACTTCTTTTCCACCTCAGAAAAATGAGCGGGGGCCTTGCCACTCCCACCTCCCTAAAAGATGGTGCCAAATTCATACAGCCAGGTGGCCCCACCCAGTACCACTCTTCCCAAAGTACTCACGTGCCCCCACAGAACTCGACGGAAGTGAGAGAACCGGCAGGACCGGAGGGGTCTTCCAGCAGCTCAGACACTGGGACCCCGATGGAGACAACACGCACAGGGTCCGGATAGGTCTCGTCAAACACAGCCCGCAGGCCCTGGATGGCTTTTGCTGCTGCCAGAGCACAATCCTGGGTGTAGACAGGCTGCCAGGAGAAGAGGAGACAGAGAAACTCTAGAAAAAGTCTTTTCTGGGGTCTAGTGGGAAGCCGCAGGCAGTGTGTGGCCTTGCAGAGCTCTGGGTTTCCAATCCCAGCTCCATGGACACGTGTGCCCCGAGCCTCCTGAGATAACGAGTCACGTGCAAAGCCAAGGAGGCCTGGAGAAGATTCCCAGTTACTTTGCTACACCAGGACCACAGCTTATCTGGAAGTGCTGCAGGTAGAGCAGACATGACTCTAACAGTCTTGGTTGTCTGAAGGAGGGGACTGGAGCCAAGACTTCCGTCTCCTCAATCCCCAAGGCCACCTACCCAGCACAGCTGAGAATCGCTACTTTAAGGAAATCAGTGTTCGAGACGGAATGTGGTAGAAACTGCTGAGGCTCTGTGGACAGGAGGTGGCGCTCATGAGCCCAGGAACTCAGGGCCCAGCCTACCTTGGCCGCCTCAATCATCTGGTTCACAATGTCCTCTGCCTTCTTGATCTGCTGGGTGGACATGGCTCCTTTGGCAGTGAAGTCAAACCGGAGGCGGTCAGGAGCAACGAGTGAGCCCCTCTGGTCAGCTTCCCCAAGGACTGAGCGCAGCGCGAAGTTCAGGATGTGGGTGGCTGTGTGGTTGCTCATGATAGGTCTGCGACGGGGCTGGAAGGGCAGTGGGGCAGGTGTGGAGGCCTGCAGAGACCTGTTCTCCCCTCCGCCCCGAGTACTACAACCTGTAGTTGGACACAAGGCTGTTCAGAATTGACTATGTTCTGAGCATGGCTATGGGGCTAAGTTCTGGCGGGTGGATCATGAGAAGTGATGCCTATCTCTTTCCCACTGCCTAGAACAGGCCGGAGGCCAAATCCACCCTGCCATCTGTCTTTATAAACCGAGTTGTATTAAAACACAGCCATGCCCCTTGGTTTACATATCGTCTGTAGCTGCTATTCCACTACAGTGGCACAGCTGAGGAGCTGTGACAGACCCTGTGATTGCAAAGCTGGATATTTACTATCTGGCCCTTTTCAGTTTGTCAACCCCTGGCCTAGAAAACAGATCTGACTTCATTGGACCATGAAGACAGAGGCAACACCCCAGGATTGATGGTGAAGCAACAGTCAAGCAGAGGCTGGACCCTGTCACTGGAGCAGAGCCTCTATCAGCTTAGACGTGTGGCAGAAGCACGTCTCTCTCGCTTTAAGTGACTGTCATTTTGGAGTCCTGTCATGAAGCACAGCCATTTATGAACTAATACAGGCTCCATGGCTACTGAAATTAACACGAAGACAGGCAATCCACAAAAGCAAGTCTGTGCGATCTCAACTAGGGGAACAGACACCACACTGACACACTGTTCACAATCCAGTGCACAAAAACGTACTCCTGCATGCTCTGTCCAACTGGTTAGCAACGTGAACCAATATAAAGTCAAAGAAGGAAGTGACTACTAACCAGATCCACTGCTGGCCAGTGTAATGCAACTCACCTCATCAATAAACAGCCGGACCTGGTCCCCCACTTTCAGGTTGCCATAGATCGTTCCTATGTGCAGAACATACCCGCCTCGTACCTGAGCATTCTTCACTGTAAACTCCGTCTTCTAAGTGGGGGCAAAGAAGAGACACTTATGTGTCTGTATATACGCACACAGTTTTAAGACACATACTTACACAAGCATTCAAATTTTCTAAGTCTCCTCGCTGGGGGTGTGTGTGTATAGATATATATACCATTATGTACATACACTGTATGTATGTGCGTGTGTGGAAACACAAACACAATCAAAGAGTATCTGCTATTTTGAATCTAATGCAGAAGACATCATGACCCATGTGGGGCCCAAGCAGACCAGGTGACTTATCCAAAACAACAGATGCACAGAGGCAGAGCTAGAGGCTGAGCTCCCCCCCGGCATGTTTATCCTCTAGCGCTGCCTCTCCTTCCTTGTGAGGAAAGCACACAGAACTGAGGACCGACTAGGCTCCAAGGACCCTCCTGCAAGGTCGTGAAAGCAACAAGATCCAAACAGCGGCTCCAGAAATGCCCACAGTTGCCTCACCCTGCTATGTCCTGCTCCCAGAGGCCTGGGTTACTGAGCAGCAGGAAAGGCTCCTCCCTTAGGCCAGGACCACAGTTAGCCCCCTCCCAGCTAATAAGAAAGAAGAACCATTGGCTCACGTCTTCGCTGCTGTCGTCAACTTTGACCAGGTAGCCTTCGTCATAGATCTGCCCTCCTTGCTCGGCATAGAAACAGGTTTTGTCCAGCACCACTCCACACTCCTGGCCTGTGGACACCTCTTCCACGAACATCTTATCCCTGCGCAGAGCCATCACCGTGGCCACCGAGTTCTCAAACACTGCTCAGTGCAAAATGCACAAAAGGGGACAATGGCATCAGTGACTTGCTTGTCCATCCTTAGCCACCTTTCACAGATTCTATTTCTAAACCCTCCTTAGGTCCTAACTGTTTAATTTTATTTTGGAAGCAAGCCCATTTGACTCCACGAAAGAACTTAGCACACCAGTTTTTCAACAGAGAATGAACGCAGCACACAGAAGACTGACAACTATCCAGGTTTGTTCCAGATAGATGCACTTCCTGGGGCAAAGGATTCTCAGTACTAAAACTGGGCAAGCCTGGACAGCTGTCACTCTGAGTTATTAACTAGGAACTTGCTGAAGCTGACGAGCAGGTCTTTAAGAGTACCTAGTCCTTATTCCAAGGTCACTTCACAAAGGATGAATTCCTATCATGGGCTTACTTGGATGGATTTAGGTATAAGATTGCGCCCTGCCAGAAAAACAACAAAAGAGCAAAAAAATGATGTTGTTGCAGCACTATTTACAACAGCCAAAAGATGGAAACAACCTAGGTGCCCATCAACAGAAGAATGGATAACCAAAGCTGTGGTACATACACACAATGGAATACTATGCAACCCTAAAGAATAATGTAGAATCTGCAAAACACCGCATAATGTGAATGAACTGGGAGGATGTTATGCTGAGTGAAATAAGTCAATCATAGAAGGACAAATATAGTATTAGTTCATGATTATAAAAAGTCAAGGAAAAGTTTATATATAGAAGGAAACTTTCTTTGTTGGTTGGGGGGGGGGCCCTCCACTGGGGGGGGGGAATGCACTTCCTCATGTCACTTTTTGTGTATTTCACTGTACATAAAACCATGATGTCATTTGTTTCTTCTTAACTTTGCTACAATCCTGGTGCACACAGTTCAACAGCCACCATGGACTGAGTCCACATCAACTCCCTGGTTTTCATAAGGTGCTACAGTTATGCAAGATGTTGCCATCTGGGGAACCGGTTAATAGGTACATGGGACCTTCCTCTAGTTTTTTTTTTTTTTAAAAAAAAAAAAAAACAACCTTCCATCAATCTATAATTATCTCAGAGTTAAAAGTCAAAGCTGTCCACAGCACTACAGGAGAGGCCATAGGTGAGGTAACAGGCACCTCATCTTGAGACTCATTTCACAGGACTCCCCAGAACATGGGTCAGGAATAGGAGCAGGCAGAAGGAGCGCAACAGCGTACCGTAGCTGCCACTGGGGTCCGAGTGGTAATTATACTTTGGGGAATCGTCTGTCGCTGCCAGGCCCGTGGAGCGGAGCTCCTCGATAGCATAAATGTCCAGCATGATGAGGTCTTCCCCTCCAGCTCCCTTGCCCTGTGATTTCAGCTGCAGCAAGAGAAACAAGCATGTTGTTACTGAGTACCAGTGTGTCAATTCTGACCCAGGGCAACGCTACGGGATGGGTACAACTGCCCCGTGAGGTTTCCAAGGCTGTAATCTTGCTGGGAGCAGATCACAGGTCTCTTCTCCCACGGAGTGGCTGCTGTGATCAAACTGCAGACCTTTCAGTTAACCACTACACCACCAGGGCTCCTAGAAATAAGCACGAGTAACCCTAAAGCAGGGGAAAAAGAAGTCTGCCCAATGGCTCAACTTTCAGTCAAATGAGAGGCCTACGAGGTGAATAATTAATACCAGGAAGGTAGACACTCATTAGAACAGTCAACCACATGAGATCAAAAAGGACAGCAATTTCCTAGGGATAAAGCTAAGAAGCCAAGAATGGATGGGAAAGAAGGATGAAGGGAATTGGTACCCACAGGGAAAAAGTAGGAGTGGTGGTACATTGTGGGGCCTGCAATGAATGTCATAAAACAAAACATATGAATTGTTGAACAGAAAACCAATTTGGCCTGTAAACTTTAACCCAAATCACAATAATTTAAAAAGAAAAACAAAAAGGCAGTCTAAAGAACTCAAAATGGCAGTTAAAATCTGTCCAATGTCAAGCTTTAAAGCAGGGTTTCTCAGCCCTAGAACCACTGACACTTTAGGCTGGTGGTGGCTGCCCTGGGCACTGTAGGATACAGATCAGCATTCTTGGCCTCCACTCACTAGAAGCCACTAGCAGCCCTCCCACTCCAGTTCTGACAACCAAAAATGTCTCCAGAAAAATGTCCCCTGGGGGATAAAACTGTACCTAGCTGAGAACCATGAGTCTAAGAAAAGTAGAATTTCAAAGACTTAATGGGAGAAAATTCTGCTTCACAGCCCAGTCCTGCGTGGTAGCAAGCAGCGAGTTTCTTTCTTACTCCCCAGATTTTACACCTGAGCCAGTTTCCTCTCTTCTTCAAAGCCGTCCATGTCTACCACCAGGCCCTTCTCTTCAGCAATGAGTCCAGTGAGATCAACTGGAAAGCCATAGGTGTCATAGAGAAGCCAAGCAGTGTCACCTACACAGGGCAAAGGACTGTATCAGAACAAACATGAGCAGCCACCTCCCTTCCGACCCAAGCTGTCCCAGGATGCTAGGGTGACAGAAAAGGCAGGTTAGTGCGGACCCTGTGCACCTGCCCAAAAATCCATCAAACCTTCTGGAACCAACTTAGCCTCTGGTAGAGTCCTTTTTTGAACTGAACACAAGTGTGTTCATTTTGTGAAAATTCACCAAGCTGCTCCTTGTATGTTAAATGCCAATAAAGTTTTTTAAAAACACTACAAAATTAATTTTCCTTCCAGTGGGAAATATAAGCAGGTTGAAAAACCATACGCATCACACTTCCCTGTTTCTGCTTAGAAACACAGATACACATCCCAAACCAGACCCACTGGTGCTGAGTTGGTTCTGACTTAATGTGACAGCACAGAGAAGTACCCCATAGGGTTTCTAAGGCTATAAATCTTTACAGAAGCACACAGCCACATCTTTCTTCTGCAAAGCAGCTGGTGAATTTGAACCATTAGTTCAAGTTAGCAGCCCAGTGCTTAACCACCGCACCATCAGGGCTCTTTATACACATAAATAGCTGCATGTATTTGTGTGTAAATATAGAAAAATCCTGAATAGTTATATACCAAACTCTTAAAAGTTGTTCTCTCTGGGAAATCAGTTTGGGAAAGAGAATTTTCTCCTTTTTACTTCTTATATTTTTGTATTGTTTGAATGTTTTATCTCAATGATATATTGCTCTTATACTCTTACTATAAACCCCATTTTACACAGAAAACATTTTTAACCAAATTAAGGTCAGCCTTTGGAGACACTGGAGTCCACTGTCTGTTTGTGAAAAAGAGCTCTCCTTTTCCAGAAAGATGAAAAGTGGCCTGGACGGACAGAGCAACACGCCGGTCCTTACCGGGAATGGTATTGCTGTCTCCCAAGCTCTGAATTTTCCTGTCCAGGATGCGACGCCCTCTGCTGAGGGTCTTGAGAAATTGCACTTCTTCTTCATTGATGATGTCCTTTACCATGTCCGGGTCTTTCTTTAGCTCAGGAAATGCATCTCCCTGACCAAGGGGAGCAGAGATGGAGAGCAGAGGTGGGGACCCAGTGAAGCCAATGCCTAGCCCTAGACCCCCTTCCATAATTCTCCTTAACAGTATGCTGTTTCCCACCCCATCCGTTTGCCTTAGCCTGGAAGGGGGACACAGGGAAAATACCTACCAGGGACTGGACGACAACATCTACTAAAGTAGCAAAGAAACCCCTGCTGGCATTGAGCTTCTCGTGGGAGTAGCGAACAGCCCGGCGGAGAATCCGTCTCAACACGTAGCTGTAAGAGGCAGAACAGTCCCTGCTGGACCCCACTGCCCAGCAAGGGCTCTGCAGTGGCCTTTGGACGTTTACCCAAAGCAATGTGCCTAAACTTTTTTCTCTTTCAGAGACTTTTACCCTAAGCCTTTTTATTTTATTCCCTGAGGTCATTAATGACAGGATAAAACTCAGTAACATCCACAAATACAACAAGAAGGACCTAAAGCAACCCTGCCTGTTTTCCTCCCACGTTCTGCTACCCCAGCACTGACCAGCTGGAGTCCTTAATGCCCAAGCTTCCAGGCCCTGCCCGCCAAGGAGCTTCCTGGGACTAGCTGATACCCCCCACACCTGCCAAAATCCTATGCAATGACCTTACATACAATTCTCATCATCTTGTACTTAGTAACAAACATTTAACACTGGGGCAACTCTTTAACATTACATGAAACTCCATTAATCCCTTAAAAGAGAAAAGAGCCCTTCAGTGACCCAAAAGATGAAAACAATGAGAGAATATGACTTTAAGTCCCATAAGAGTCATAAAAAGCATGGTAAGAGTCCTAATCCTGTCCAGTGTGTGACACACTCACCCCCGCCCTGTGTTATCAGGTCTGCCACCATCAGCCAGCGCCACGGTGATGGTCCGAGCATGGTCAGCCAACACCCGATAGGCCATGTCGATCCCATCGGTATCATCAGCGCCAACTTTCCCAGTGTACGGCCGGGCACCTGTGCCCTACAGGGAAAACCAGGAGGCAGCCCGTCAGGAAGCAGCCCTTCTGGCCCAGCTTGCCCTAGGAGGCTAAGGGAGCATTAGCACCAGAGGACGACCATCTTGCCAGGTTCTATAACCTCAAAAAAGGTCACAAGTCATAGCAGTAAGGAGCCTCCAGCCAGGTTTCCTGCACTCCACAGATCAGAGAACCCCGTGCCTAGTGCCTCATGTTAGCAGCAAAGGAGGCAGATGGTCACAGGTGCCTTCAGCTGGTCAAGTATTGTTCTTTTTATCTTTCACAGCACTGCTAAGAGCCCAGCCTGGGATCCTCCACAGAGGTCTGCATTGTTGACCAGAGCAGTACCTTCTGAATGACTTCAAAGTAAGGGATGAAAAGGTCAGTGTCATAGTTGGACATCTTATTCTGCAGCACAGACACCAGTCGCTCCAGGCCCATCCCCGTGTCAATGCTCTTCTTGGGAAGAGATTTCAGAATGCCATCGGATTCCCTGGATGAGCCAGAGAAAGAGAGGAAGTTGAAATAGGGACTCAGGTTGCCCCTTCCCTAGTCCTTGGTGATTAAAAGTCATCTCAGCAGCAGAGTTTCTGGGCTATGACTACTTGCCATTGGCTTCTGCCTGGTTAGGTGGGGGAGTGGTGGGAGAAAGGGAGCGAGGGTTGTCTGGGTGCAGTGAAGAGCAAGGCGAGGTTCAAGGAGATCAGCTCTATCACAGCCATACAGATCATAGCAAGGACATGACAGGAGCAGCCCCCCAGCAGACACTATATGGGATGAGACTAGGGAAAACCAAGAAATAATTATCTCAAGAAATGTGACCACTGGGTCCCCAATGCTGTCCCCACCTGTTGTACTGGATGAATACAAGGTTCCAGATCTCTAGCACATTAGGGTCATCCTGGTTGACGAGGTGTGCAGCGTCCCGACCACCAATCCGGTCATAGTGGATCTCACTGCAGGGACCACATGGGCCCGTGTCACCCATTTCCCAGAAGTTGTCCTTCATGTTGCCGGGGAGGATTTTGGTGTCATCCAGCCTGTACAGAGCAGGGAGGTTAAGTCCAGTTAAACCTCTGACAAAGATTCAGCCCAGACCTGCATATACTGCAAAAGGACATCTTCATGGAATTTGATTCTCTAGAGAAGCCGTGCTCTTTGGCAATGGCTGATGCAAAGCCTGCACACACCTGCCCAAAGGGCAGAACCTGACTCTTCTCAAGACTGGCTACAACAGAACACAAGATTAATGCTGCTATGATCCTAGACAGATACAAACATGCAAAGATGTGGTGAAAGCCCAGAAAGGAACACATGAAAATGAAAATGTTTATGCTAAATATGAATTTAAATTCTGAATATGATCAGGATTTAAGCAACTATTTTTTGCAAATTTCCTTTATTTAAAAAACCTGATATACTACACAATATAGAAACGTTGAAGCAGCTGCTGATTATGTAAAGTCACTTTTCTAAACCCAATTTAGTCATCTGTCCTTTACCTTTAAATTATACCAAGAAGAATTCAAGGAGATGAAGATAGTTACAAAATAGTGACCCTGCTGAAAGGTCCCAGTAACACAGCTCAAAGGACTATGCTTGATAAAGTAAATGCAGACAGACGTGAAGCCAAGTGACACGGGACTTAAAATCATCTAAGTTCCACATGTGTTATTACTGAAAATGTCCAATTACACTAAACTGTGCAGTCTAACCATGTGGGAGTTTCAGACCAAGTAAAAGCAGAAGCTGGATCAGAGTAATACACCTAAAGCAGTAAAACAGAGGGCTGCTTCCAATGTACGAAAAAGTTATGTACGCACTAGCGGACAAGAGAGTTAACTAGTAAAAACAAAGCAAATGAGACAAAGATGGCATGGGGATCCCCACTATCCGCACAGAAGGTATGCCCCCACGTAGCCCCCTGCATGCAGCACTTCACAAAGTCCATTAAATCAAAGCACAGGACTCATATGGGTCCTCTCTCAGATTAGCCTTAATGCTACGTGATTATAAGTACTAGGGGAAAGAAAAACCACTTCCTTTTTCCTAGTCCCATGTGTCTGACACCATTACATTTCCATAAAAAATAATAACCTTTTGTATGAAGAATCCCATTCTGTTCTAAAACATGCACACATACATACACAGGGCTACAGAAACATTAACACCATGTAGTAGAAAATACACCATCTTCTACATTTCTATATAGTTTAATTTTTTACACCTTAGTGTATTATTTTCATAATAAAACGTAATCAATGAGACGCAGGATTGGTTTACTGTGTCTGAAGGTTTGGAACCACAGTCTTGAGGGATAACTCAGTCAATTGCCGTAACCTAGTTCACAAAGATAATGTCCTGGATTCTCGTACCTGTGCTCTCCAAAGCTTGTGATTGGCCATCTAACATACAGCTATTGTTCTCTACTCGTCTGGAACAGACAGAAGGAAACCAAAGATTCAAAGAAGAGATTAGTCCATAGGACTAACAGCCCACATGAATCACAGCCTCATCTAGTCTGAGACCACAACTAAATGATGCCAAGCTACCACTCCTGACTGTTCTGACCAGGGACACAATAGGTGGTCCCGGATAGAAAGGGAGAAAAATGTAGAACAAAACTCAAATTCCTAAAAGGCCAGATTTACGAAATCAAGAGAGACAAGAGGAACTATCCTTGTAAGATACCTTTTGAACTTGGAACTGAAGTCACTCCCAGTGGTCACCTTTCATCTAAGTAATAGACTGGCTTATAAAATACAGTATCATCCATGACTATAAATACTGTTTCCTTAAATAATCAGCTATATGAGAGCAAATGGTCACCATTTACCCTAAGGTAAAGATGAGAAAGAAGTGTGGGATGAGCAGGGAAGCTACATTAATAGAAACAGAACAAAAAGAATGGAAATAATGAGAATGCTGATACATTGTGAAATATGTAAGCAATGTCATGGAACAAGTTGTAAAAAAACTGTTAAATGGTAACCTAATGAGCTATGTAAACTTTCACCTAAAACACAGTAAAGTATTTTCAAAAAATAAAGTTCTGTTGTCTAAGGCATTGTCTCACCTACTTTGGTCATGTTGTCAGAAGGGGACATTCCCTGGAGAAGGATGTCATGCTTGGGAAAGTGGAGCAAAAAAGGGGAAGGCCCTCAATGAGATGGACTGACATAGTGGCTGCAATGATGGGCTCACATATACCAAGAATCGTGAGGCTGGCACAGGACTGGGCAGTGTTTCGTTCTACTGCACATGGCTCGCTGTGGATCAGAGCCAACTCAACGGCACCTAAAACATTGTCTAAGGGGGAGCCCTAGTGGTGCAGTGGTTAAAGTGCTTGGCTGCTACCAAAAGGTCAGTGGTTTGAACCCACTAGCTATTCTCTGGGAAAGATGTAGCAGTGTGCTTCAGTCCAGATTTATAGCCTTGGAAACCCCACGTGGCAGTTCTCCTCTATCCTATAAGGTTGCTACGAATCAGAATAGACTCGTTGGCAGTGGGTTTGGTTTGGGCTGGTCTAAGAAGAATGAAAAAGAAAACCAAAAAACTCTCTACATGGGATCAAACTGACAACAGCAACTTGAAAGCTTATATAGGAACCTTAGGGGCAGTGACTTTATGCTAATAGGGGAGGAACAACTCAAAAAGGAAGGTGAGAATGGTTGCACAACTCAATGAATGTCATCAATGTCATGAACTGTATATGCAGAAAACTGGTGTATGTTCTGTTTACACTTGTACGTTCTCAACAATAACTAGTATCTTTAAAAAGTAAGGGAAAAAGAAGAGACTCCTGTTGTTGGCTTTCAATAACAGAATGATCAATCAAATGTCCCAAGAAGCAATGAATGCATCGAGACACTTACTCCCAGTTACTAGCCCTCTGCATCTCCAACTGCACACCACCGATGGGAACGGCAGTGTACCCCAGTCATGTGACCCCACTGTGTCACTGAGTCGAGAAATCATTTCATTCCTGCATATGTTCAACATTCTTACCCCAAATTTCGCCAGATGTGTTTGCACTCCAGATCTGGTTCTAAGCCAGCTGCTTCATCCCCACCAAAGTAAGTAACATAAAGTCTCTCGACTGGAATGCCAAACTCTTGGGTGAGAAGTTCCAGGGCCATCTGACAGGCCAATTCCTACAAAAAGGACAAAAAAAAAGATGGGAACCTTGCCCCACCAAAATCTATCTGATTTGAGTAGAAAAAGCCCAGATCCTGGGAACACAGGTATTCAACTACAATATATACACTATAAACTCAAGCAAATTTGGGATCAAATTACACAAGAAATCCAACTGTAAAGTGAAATGGTCAAACGATAGATGCTACTTCTAGGAATAAATGTCCTTCACTCCTGAGTCTCCTGGTGATCATCTTTCATATTTTAAAGCATGCAAAATTAGAACCACTTCCCTCCATGAAAATGACTATTTTGCTGAAAACCTCAATAGTTCTGCTTTGAGTTTACCTTGAAGTAATCTCCAAAAGACCAGGAGCCCAGCATCTCAAAGAAGGTGTGATGATAGACATCCTTGCCAACATCGTCCAGGTCGTTGTGCTTGCCCCCTGCCCGGATGCACTTCTGGGTATTGGCTGCTCTGCTCAGCTTTGCCATAGGGTGAGACGGGTCAACAGTGTTCAGGAAGATGGGTTTGAACTGAAAAAACAAGGGATCCATTTCAACTTTCACAGAGCTACAGTATCTCTCAGGTGGTCAGAAAGAAGCCACATACAAACTGTCCCGTTATTGATTTAATTAGCCTGCAATACAGAAACTTCTCCCAAGGGGATGGCATTATGGGTAAAGCAGAGGCCTTTCTCAGAGTGAAGTCAAACACTGATGTGGTGACAACTTGCTGCTTTCTCACAAATCCCTGATACTTACAGTCTCATTCTAGAAGAACTTATTTTAAAATTGATGCACTGGGCAGTAAAGGTGATGAGGAAGAAAAGAAAAATGGAGACAGCTTAAGGAAGTAAAATCAGCACAGGTTGGTGACGAGTTGGTCATGTGGAGTGACAGTATTACCTCACGCTGGGGATTCCCCCCAAGCTGCATGTTGATGCATCACTGTTACGTGTGTTATCTTTCCCAGTGGACCTGCACTGTCCAGTCTGGTAACCACTAGCCATGTGTGACTACTTAATTTCAATTCAATTCAATTAAAATTTCAGTTCTTCTGCTGCACATTTCAGGTGCTCGCTATGTGGCTGCCATGTTGATCCATGCAGATACAGACCAGTTCCATCGCTGCAAAAAGTTCTATTGGGCAGCCCAGTGTTAGACCACGAACTGCTTGGAAGCAAAAGCTTTCTTACTTATTTCTGTATGTCAAGCAACTAGCATATTACCTAGAAAAGAGTAGGTGCTGTAATAAATACTATCTTGAATAATAAATAATAATAATAAGAAGAAGAATGCTAAGGTATTTCTGATAAGAAGCAATACAACCAAAAAAAAAAAACCAAACTCACTGCTGTCGAGTCGGTGCCGACTCGTAGCAACCCCTCCTTAGGTTTCTGAGGCAGTATCTCTACAGAAGTATATTACCCAACCTTCCTTCTGAGGAGTAGCTGGTGAGTTTGAACCGTCAGCCTTCTGGTTAGCAGTCAAATGCCTTAGGTACTACGCCACCATAGAATAAGGTTAAAAACAGGCCAGCAACTTACTAAGCTATATGAGTCTGGGCAATTTACTTGAACTTTCAGTGCCTCAGTTTCCTCATCTGTACAGTAGTGACAGTAACAGAGTGAGGATTAAATGTATTATTACACATGAAAGGCAAAGTGCCTGGCACCTAGTAAATGCTATATGCATGCTAACAATTACTATTATTAAGAGGATGTTCATACACTGTCCTGGTTCTTATACCAAATACAGTGCCAACTCATGTGGGAGAAGGCAAAGCCTGTGCCCAGGTATGCCTGAATAGAACAGGACCTTCCCTGTGTTCCAGACTACCTATTTCCTTGAAGGAGCCCACCTAAAATTTCTGCTCCCAGTTCTGGTAACATACATACAGGACTGACACATAAAACATTTCTCACAATTTTACAATAAATGTCATATAAGGTGGAAAATGTTCCCACTGCATCTATTTTTCCATACCAAAGAACAAAAACAAAAAACCACCACCTACGAGAAGAAATAGGACAGTCCTGAGGGCTTCCACCCTCATGTCCCACAGGGCTGGCAGACTGTGCCAAGGAGGGCTTCGTAGAAAACTCTGAGGGGGCTTGAGTGCACCATCTAGCCAAATCTGCTTCCAGTCAAGGATCAACACGGTAAATATTTTTCAAAGTCACAAACATGTTGAAAAACTCCTTTCATAAACTGACGTTCCCAGTATTTCAAGAGAAAACATTTTCTCTAACAAGACTTTCTGATCACTTTTATAGTTCAACTGCCCAAACACAAATACTACTAACTACAAAATTTCTTTAGCAATGGATCCAGAGTGGCATTGGGAGCAGTAGCTTTGAGAATGGAGATAAAAGGGGAAAGAAAAAAAAAACCACCACACAGAGCCAAGAACAGGAATTACAGCACAGCTCCGAAAGAAGACTGATGAACTGACTTGTTTTATAAAGAGAAAGCAAGGGTAATATGAAGATGGAGAGTCATGATAATTGACTTATCAAGTCTTCAATTCTAATAAAACAGAGCTTTTTCCTTGGGGGAGGGAGGACCCTCAACAACTTAACTACAGACTAGATAGTTGACTATTTTTCTTAAGGGGCATGCAATCTTATGTCTTACCTTATCCATGGGTATTGGGGTTCTCATATTTAAAAATAATAATACCTAACATGTGAGTATCTGTGATGTGCCAGATACTGTGCAAAACATTTTCCATGTGTTACCTTATTTACTTCTCACTGTAATCTAAAGGCACATACTATTATCATTCCTCATTTCACAGATGAAGAAACTAAGGTTCACCAGTGACAATGTCATCCCCAAGATGACACAGTAAGTGACAGAAAAGGGACTCTGGCTGCTTTTATCATTACTGTGCTGTCTCCAATGTGAACAAATTGCCAAGAGGAAAGGAAAAATCCTACCTGGTTCATGCCCGCATTGGCAAAGAGCAAAGTGGGATCATCCAATGGGATGGTAGCAGATGAGTGGACATAGGTGTGCTCATTTCTCTTGAAGAAATCTATAAATCGCTGCCGGATTTCACTCGCTGTTAGGGTTGAGTCCATCTTGAAAGCTATCCCAGTGAGTTAACCAAAGAAAGAAATGAAGAAAAATCAGAGAAGTGGACCTAAGAGATAAGGAAGCGTTACACAAGACTCTGGGCTTCTCAAGCCAAGTGAAAGCAGGACACGGGAGGGCTGTTTGATCCTAAAACCTCTATGTTCTAATACTCAAGGCTAAAATCATCAAAGCAAAACCTGCTGCACCAGCAGACAGCAGCTGCATGTGTTTTTTGTCCCCATGCCAACCTTCAATACACCAGCACAGCAAGTAGTGCAGGTGACCTATTCATGCAGTCATTCATTCAACAAATACGCATTGAACATCTGCTCTGTGCTAGGCCCTGGACCAGGAATTAGGACGTGGGGAAAAGCCCTCATTACCTTTATAGTCCAGCAGAAAAAACCACCAGGGAAGAGGGGGAGGCTCAGAAGACTTGGGTTATAGTCCTAGCTCCAAGTCCATAAGGAGGTCATTTTCCTTCACCAGCTATACTAGATGATCTCTAAGACCTTATCCAGCTCTCCATTCATTTATGTGCCCAGAAGTGTGTCAAGTTCCATTATCCCCAGAGCCTGGTCTCCAGGTTTGGTGAGGCTGCTGTCAGCAGCAGTAGACCTGGGGATGAATCTGTCTGTACCAGGAACTACCTGCAAACAGCAAGAATAACACCTACCTCTACCCACCAAATGCCCTAGAACCAAACTGGTAAACCCTTCCTAGCCATGAAATAGATCCCTAGGAAGTGAGGATGTTGCAGACACACTGAGGAGGTAGAACTGAGTAAAAGAATCAGAAGAGAGAGAAACTGAGAAATAAAAACAAATTTTGCAGTTTCAAAGCTCTTGCACATTTATTACAATTTCTCTAAGAGACAGGCTGTGGAGAAGAGACAGGCTTTGGTGCAGGGTACCAGTCACTGGCATGGCACTATAGCAGTATCTAGAGAAATGGACACCATCTCATTTATAACATTATCTACGTTGTTGTTTTTATGTGCTGTCGAGTCTGACCCGAGTCATATTGACCCCTCCTTGGGTTTCCGAGGCGGTATCACTATGGAAGTAGATTGCCCAACCTTCCTTCCAAGGAATGGCTGGTGGGTTTGAACTGCCAGCCTTCTGGTTGGCAGTCAAGTTTCTAGAATAACCCAGCTCTAACCTTAAATAAGTCACTTCCTCCTGGGCTTGTCTCCTTTTCTACGTACATACATACATACATACATACAGATCTCCACCCTGCCTATTCCACTGGGGTGTTGTGATGGTTAAAAGCCTTCTTGTGTTTGGAAACCATTTGCAAGCTGGAAAGAACTCAAGGAACAGAATGGATAAAATGTCTTTGTCATGTAAAGTTTTCTTCCTTCTTAAGAAGATACAGTAAGGAAACAGATGTATACAGTGAACATGGATGAACATGAGACCCTGACTCTCAGATTTATATTTAACCACAATTCCAACTGATTTATTCACAACTGAATCAAAGGTCCTTTGGGCACAGAGATGGTGAAATACTGCCTTGCACAAGCCAAAGTCCAGACTAAAATTCCCGGATGGGGACTTGATGCCCATGTTAAGTCAAGGCCTGGGTTTTTAGAAACTTCATACCATTCTTCCTCATCATCCCTTCTCATCACGGCTCTCAAATGAAACTTCATAATGGTGGCAAAAATGAATTTACAGAAAGCTAACTAACCAAGCAGCCACATGTTTAAGAAAGCTCATTGCTTCTCCTCTAAATAGGCCACCAGAGATAAATGTTTCAAACTCCAAAAGACACATGAATTTGCAACTACTACACATTCATTCAACATACTGAGTGCCTGTTATGTGGTGGGAAGCAAGACGACTGACCCTTTCTGCCCTTAATGGGAAGGAAGTCATATATAGAAATAACTGTAGTTATACAAAAGTATTTGGTCATGTTGTGAGAAGGGACCATTCCCTGGAGAAGGATGTCATGCTTGGTAGGGTGGAGGGTCGACGAAAGAGGGGGAGGCCCTCAACAAGATGGATTGACACGGTGGCTGCGATGATGGGCTCAAGTATAGCAGGGATTGTGGGGCTGGCGCGGGATCGGGCAGTACTTCATTCTGCTGTGCATGGGGTCGCTGTGAGTCGGGAACGACTCGACGGCACCTAACAACAACAACATCCAATATGCTTATTGAATACAAGCCCTAGGAGGCTGGGCTGTTAAAAGCTGTGTCCCCATCACCATCGTTTGTTTATCCATATAAATATTGAAAGAAAACTGGATGAGATACAGAGGTACCACAAGGAGGGGCTTCAGATTTTACCTCTCAGCAGTAGCTGCAATGGTCTCGGGTACCTTAAATTACACGAGCCTTTGGGTTTTAAAAGTTCCAGCCACAAGACCTTTCTTTGCCAGGTGAACTGTCTGCCTCACTCCTTTTTCTACCTAATTTCTCATTTTTCATACCTCAGTTCCAAAGAAACTTACTTATATCCTCAGCATCAATCACAGCGGTTGTTAAATGTCTGTTGATAAGGTATAATAATGTTTTAACAGTAAACTCTGAATACCTCATATACTTCAAAGCACACTGGGAAATGCGAAATTGCCTGAAAGAGTGCTGAATAGTCTACAAGGTGGACCGCCACCGACATCAGTTTAGTTATTTTGAAGAATCTGGGAAAGGCTCACAGTGGAATTCCACCGATTTTGATCACTCTGTTCACCCTCCCCTGGCGACCCCAAAACCAGAGCAGATTGAAACCTCAGCTTTGGGCGGATCTTCAATGACAATCCTAGTCCTTCCAAGCTCTTCGTCCTCAGCAGGCCCACAGCAGGGCAGCCCACTTTCAGCGCTCCAGAAGGCTGAGGAGAGGTTACTGACGGTCCCCCCGGCGCCCAAGCAGCTACCCCGGCTCCCAGCAAGGCCCCGATTTCCGAGGTTGGTCCCAGGGCCTGCCCTAAGGGCCCGATGGGAAGCCAGGCTTCCCCCGAAAGCCCGGCCCAGCTCTCTCACAGCGGTGTAGAGCTCCCACTAGGATCCTTCTCCGTGGTACTGCCATCCCTGCTTTCTCCCTGAGAACCCACCGCCAGGTCCCGCGGTTACCTGCTCCAGCAGACACGCAGAGGAACCAGGGCCCGGCCACTACCCGCTTCAACCTACACTATCCCGTCCAATTAGAACGCGCCGATGGAAAGCGCCCCGCCGCGTCTTACCCTCGAGAGGTATTATTGGTGACTGCATATGCCAATCAACTCGAGCACGAATCAGTTTATTAGTCGGCCTCTGGGGAGGCGGCTCTAAATCGGCTGATGCAATGGCGGGGGGAAAAAAAAAAATGGGACTAGGGTACGTCACGTGATAGAGTCGCATGCATACTCCTGGAGGCAGCCATTTTGGTTTCCATATGCAGATCCGTTAGTTGACATGGATAATGTGGACAAGGAACGGTGACGTATGTTTGGTAGCGGTCACAGCTCTTGATCTAAGGAAATAACAACAGTTTTTGGGGACAACTGATTTGCAGGTCAATTTATATCCGGTTTTTACAGATTAGAACTATCAGTGCAACATAAATGTTTATTTTAGGAAACTTCTGACATGTTGCTAATTTGTTCTAAACGGTGCGAGCTATAGGCATGGCTTGTTCAGGAGAAGATTCAGCCTCACCTTGGGGCATAACAGATGGGACTTCCGATGTTATGAGGTGCCAGTCAATTCCGCCTCACACAGACCATGTGTACAACAGAACAGAACCCTGCCTAGTCCTGGGCCGTCCTCACCGTCATAGCCATGTTTGAGCCCACTGTTGCAGTGTTAATCCACTCCTTGAGAGCCTTTCTTTTTTGCTAAGCCTGATGGCCTTCTCCAGTGACTGGGTCCTCCTGAGAACATGTCCTAAGTACATGAGACTTGCCATTGTCACTTCTAGAGAGCATTCTGGCTGTACCTCCAGATAATACAATTCAAACTAGTTGCAAAGATTAAAAAGTTTGATCCACATTCCTCATCTACTTACTCATCAAAAGGGTGCCTATTATGCCACCCTCATGGAGCTCCCAGTCTAAGGACGGAGCTGATTATTCAGCAAAAATAACAACTGCCAGACACAAACATACCATGCACAAAACTTCAGACCTGTTCTTACGCACCAAGGTAGTTCAGCGTGCAGGCCCTAGGGCTGTGCCGTTCCCTCAGCTGATTGGCTGGCAGGAAAGCCAAGCCTCAACCAATGAGGCTCGGGTTCAGCCAAGGAGGTAGGGCTCAAAGGAAGCGGCTAGCGACAGTTGGAGGAGGTAACCGCCATGCTGACGGCAGATGGCAGGGGCTGCTGGCCGCATCAGAGGCCGCACCCTGGGACAGTTTCCTCTCACCTTGCCTGTGGGGGATGTGAGTGTCTGTGAGAGGAGAAATGAGACTCTTTTCACATTTTAGGTGTCTTCTTCGTCACCATGGGGGAGGGGGTGTAGTACTATTTATCGAGCCTTCGCCCCACGCCAGGTACTGGGCCAAAGGCCTTAATTTTGTGATCTCATTGAAACCTCAACCGTGAGGTAGTTACTGAATCACGATTCTGGGGGAAAATAAGGCTGCCTAGGGCACTTGGACTAAATGCAGGAGGTTCAATTCAAATCCAAACCAAAATCAAACCCATTTTCCTTCCCACTCAGGGTGACTCTAGGTTTTCACTTCCCTAACACTCTCTCCTCTCTCACTGCCCCACTTTTGAAATCAGGTTGTTTCTTAGGGAGAGTGTTACAGTGTGTAAATCCATGGTAGGTGGATGTAGGAGAGCCTAGAATCTTGTTGCTTACTTTTTAATTACTTTCAACATGTGTTATTTTAGCATACTGGAAGGATAAACACTGAATTCCCAGGCTTCTATCCCTCTCACCAGGTCACTGCTTTCAATTTTTGTGTGTGTACCTTACTCATTTTCAACTGTGTATAAAGGCATACAGGTGCTCTGGTAGTGTAATGCCTAAGGCATTTGACTGCTAACCAGAAGGCTGGTGGTTCAAAATCACCAGCCACTCCT